ATACCATGACCAAGCAGGATTCAGGGATGGCTCAATATGCAAATCCATAAATGTAATACACCATATTAACAGAGCCAAGGACAAAAACCACATGATCATCTCCACAGATGCAGAAAAAGCATTTGACAAAGTCCAGCACCTATTGATGATTAATATACTACAAAAAATTGGGATGGTCTTTACCTCAATCTGGCAAAAGCCATCTCTGACAAACCAATAGCCAACCTCATACTACATGGACAAAGATTTCATTCTAAAATCAGGAATGAGACAAGGATGACCACTGTCACCACAATTACTAAACATTCTTCTAGAAACATTATTCAAAGCGATTAGAAAAGAGAATGAAATAAAAGGAATGTGAACAGGAAAGGAAGATGTTAAATGATCATTATTTGCAGAAGATCTGATACGCTACACAGAAGACCCCCAAAATTCCACAAAAAGACTCTAGATTTAATAACCAAATTTGGTAGCATAGCAGCATACAAAGTCAACAGTAAAATATCAATAGCATTCTTCTACATGAATAGCAAACTCACTGAGAAATTAGGGAACCAACACCTTTCACAATAGCATCAATAAAAATGAAATACTTGGGAAACAATCTAATAAAGGAAGTGAAAAACCTTTACATTGAAAACTACAGTACTCTACAAAAGAGATGGAAGAAAATATCAGAAAATAGAAAGATAGTCCTTGTTCTTGTATAGGCAGAACAAGTATAGTACAAAAATGGCTATACTTTCAAAACTATTTCACAGATTTAATGCAACCCCAATTAAAATACCAATATCATATTTCACAGAACTAGACAAAACAATGTGAAAGTTAATATGCAACCAGAAGAGATCTAGAAGGGCAAAAGCAATAGAGAAAGCAATAAAGGTAAAGCAGGGGACATCAAAACCTGAGGCTTCAAATTATATTACAAAGCTACTATGATAAAAACAGCATGTTACTGGAAAAATAAAAAACAGATATGCTGATTAATAAAACAAAATAGAAGATGCCGAAATAACTCCAGGCACACAAAGAGCCAAATACCTTCATTGGAAGAAAAATAGCCTCTTGAGTAAATGGTGCTGGGAAAACTAGCTTGCCACATGGCAAACACTGAACCTAGACCCATATCTGTCACCATGCACTAAAGTTGAAATGGATGAAAGATCTAAATATTTCAAAAGTCCAGATTCAAGCCTTTCCCTGAGTCAGTGCCATTCATGAACTTGCAAGGAGAGATAATAAGGCCACACCAGGAAGCAAGCCCAGTCTGGGAACCAGCACCAAGCACAGACCATGGGCAGATTGGGAACAGTGAGACCCCAGTCTCTTCCGGCACCTGCAATGATAAACAAGAAGTACCAATCCCCTGCCTCCCCACCCCATAAGCAACTGGATGATCTGGAGAAACACAGGCTGTGATGATAACTATGGAGGTGAAATGCAATTACATGCCTGTGGTGTTTGGTGTTTCACTGACACTGCAGGTCTAGGGCCAGTGGTCTGAGCATAGGTTCAGAGGAGAGCAGTACCCAGTGTGGCATCTGGGGGATCTTATTCTGAGGGTTGCAGCCATTGTTGATTCCCTATGGTCTTGTTTTGAAGTCCTATATCATTTCCACTGTTTTGTTGGGTTGGGTTTTATTCTCTCTTTTTTGTTTGTTTGTTTGTTTGTTTGATTATGTCAAATTCGATGGCAAGAGCAGCTGTTTCAAAGGTAGTAATATAGGGGGCTGAGGATTTAGCTCAGTGGCATAAAGCACCTGCCTTGCAAGCAGGCAGTCGTGAGTTTGATCCCTGGTACCAATAAAAAGGAAAAAGACAAAAAAAAGATAGTAATATATATAATGGTAGCAATTTTGGATTGACTATTGGCTTGTTTTGAAGTCCTTTATTGCATGCATTGTTTTGTTTTTATTTTTTCTATTCTATTCTGTTCTGTTTGGTTTTTACTATGTCCGAAGTTATGTGCAGCTATCATGAAGACATCAAAAGGCACTTTGGTAACTATTATTGATTTCATAATGTTTTTTAGAAAAATGTTATACATTTTTACACCAACAAATATTTTAATTTTTTAAATTTTATTTTAAAAATAATAAAACAGAATAAAACCAATCAAAACAAACAGTGTAAGAGATACGGACTTCAAAACATTACACTACTTTGTTTTGATACAGTTGTATTCTATTTTATCCTCTTTAAAATAAAATAAATATAAAAACAAATAATCTGATAGAGCAGGTAACAGTCTTGAAGACACAGTTGTAGGAAAAGACTTAGGAACAAAGCCCTGATCCAACAGGAAACATTACAAAGAATCAACAACTGGGATCACAACAAATTAAAAAGCATTTGCAAAGCCAAAGAAACTACTAGAGAAAGCCTACAGAATGGGGAATAAAATTTGCTCCTCAAAGTTACTTCTCAAAGGACTAATATCTAGAATATATTCAGAACTTAGAAAAAAATGACCCCCCCCAAGTTTAAAGACCCAATCTAAAAACAAGCATCTGAAATGAATAGATACGTCTCAGATAAAGAGAGATAAACAGCAAACAAATACATTAAAAAAGTTCAACATCACTGGTCATTCACGAGATGCAAATCAAAACCCACTGAGATTCCATCTCCCTCCAGAAAGAATGGCTATCATCAAGAAATCAACCAATAACAAATGCTGGCAAGGATGTGGGGAAAAAGAAACCCTTCTCTGTTGTTGGTGGGAGTGTAAATTGTTACAACCACTATGGAGATCATTCCTCAGAAACCTAAAACTGGAAACTCTATTTGATCCATCAATTCCTCTTCTAGGTATCTTCCCAAAAGAGTTAAAAGCATCATATCACAGAAATATATTCACGCTCATGTCTATAACAGCACAATTTATAGTAGCTAAACCTTGGAAACAGCATAAATGCCCACCAATGGGTGAATGGAAAAAGAAAACATAGCTTTTATATACAATGGAGTACTGATCTATGATTAAGGGAGATAAATTTGAGACATTTTTAGGTAAATGAATGCACTTGAAGACCATAATTATAAGTGAAATAAATCGGACACCCATGTTTAAATATTACTTTCATGTGAAAATATTTCTGTTACATGAAAACCCTTAACTACTGAGCAAAATGGAGGATAGATATTTGAAAGTAGGAAAAATGTAGGTTCAAATGAGTGGAGGTAGAGGAAGGGAAGGAAGGCACTGAGAATTTTTTTAAATAATGGAATGAAAACACAAAAATCAAACTCTTGTAAAGGGGGAGGGGAAGAAGGGTTGCAGAAGGGAGGTAAATGGGGAAAGAAGAAGATGAAGGTCCACTATGTACAGGTACAAATTCCCTATGATGAATTTGTTCATTATGTATGGTAAACATGTGCAAAAAATTAATTTTAAGAAATTAAAGTACATATTTATCCACACAAAAAAATAGAACTTCTTAAAAGTTGAGTTTCATGGGATGCTAATACTCATTTTTAATCAGCCAGAGCTCCACACAAGCAGAGATATATGTCAGAAGTGCTACCTTCATTTTTCTGTTAGAAAGGTAGAGGTCATGAGACAAACATGGGAGCACAGTAGGGGTCCAGCATGTGTCCCCTGCACACAATGGAAGCCCCAAAGATGAACTGTGAATGACTGCTTTCAGGGAAGTTAGAAATAAGTCCAAAGAAGGAAATCCATTTGACCAGGCTGGCCCTCAGCAAAGTCCGCGGGAGCAGGGCTCCCACTGCTCTGCCTTGAGGGGGAGGCTGTGCACCTGTACCTCAGTGGTGTTTCTGCTGCCTTTCTGCTTCTCAGCCTCTTGGGAAGCAGGAAGGTCTCATTTCCCATGGCCGTGCCAGTTCAAAAGCTATCAACACTCAATCTGCACAGCTCTACTCTATCCTGCGGTGACCAGGACTCAGCAACCCTTTCTTGCCTTTGCAGCTGCCCTTCTGGAAGGTCCACCAATGTGGGTGTCAGAGGGAGGTGGGGAAGCTGAAAGAAGAGGCTTGTGCCTCCTATTTGTCTGCTATTCAGGCCAGGGTCCTGTGAAGTAGCTTTCACCCTAGATGGCAGTTGGTCCCTGACACCAAGTTCTCCAGGACAAGGTTCACCTTGCCTTCTCAGTGGTCCTGGCACTAACAGCCCCATTAAGACCTTTCCTCAGAGGACTGAGTCACTGCCATAGACCCTCCCTTCCCAACTTCACCTGCATGAGATGCAGCCACCTCCTGCATCTGTGTGAGCCTGCTAGGCTCTTTATACTCCTTCACTTTTCCAAGTGCTTATATTAAATTCTCTCCATTGAAATCGCCACTGAACTTTCTTAAGTGTCTGACAGATTGACTCTACCTGCTCTGAAACAGTGTGGACAGAGCCAACGAGGCCAAGTGAGGTGAAACCCATTCTGCCTTCCCCTTGACCCTGTCCACACCACCCTTTCTCCTACATGAAAATGCAAACCCCAGCAGAAGCACTAATTTTTAGTAGTCTGCTGATAATGACTTACATATAAAGTGTCCCATTATTGACATTTGTGAGAAGCTTTGATAGATATGTTTTAAATTGTATAAAATGCTTATTAAATCTCTAGTTATTTGATACTTAATTGGAAACTAGAAAGAGAAAAGATGTCATAAGAATAATATGAGGTCCTCAATGAACTATGGATAGGTAAGGGAAAGAAAATGTACACAAACTACTGAAAGAAAAATATGAGACATAATATGATTATGAACTTAGTTGTTTGATACAAAGCATAGATGAATTCAGATCTGGAAAATAGAAGAGTTGGTGAGAGTCAAAATAATGGCCTAGGACCTCAAACAAAATATGAGATAGATTTGCAAAGATTTAGATGTGCAGAGAAAGTGGGCTGAACCTTCAGACCTCCATACCAGGATACAACTCTACGGATTATCGGGTAGTTCCTTTAAGAATGGCTCACCAAGTAACCATACTCCAGGTCCTTCTCACCTCCAGCAAAGAACTGAATGAGACAAGCAAATAACAACAAAGTTTATTTGAAAAGCAAAAACTGGCTCTGCAGAGCAAATGGGCCAAACAAGAGAGGAAAAGGGAAAAATGCAAATAAATGCACACCTAGTCTGGAAGGCAGAGGTTGGGATTTCATGAAGAGTTACAATGGCAGGCTCTTCTTGGTGTCCTATTGCTTTTATGCCATTCACATCTTCTGGAAATCTGTAAGAAGTTCCACATACAGAGTCCTGAGAGGTGGTGCTATATAGATCCTGGGATCCCACCACACCTTTCTTCCCAGCCAGCCTAAGCTATGCCCTATCTCCTACCTCACAAGTAAGGCATGACATTGGGATAGCCCTCTTTGGTATGGACATCCATACACATTCACTGGTTCTAACCAATGTGAATTTGCATTATAATGTATAGGGCTTCTCCCACGTTTCCTGCGCAATAGAACTCAGACTGAATTTGTAGAGTCAATCCAGCAGGAATTCCACCCGCCACTTAAAGATGCCCCTTTAATATCAAAGCCAAGCATTGCTCAGCTGTGAGAGAACCATAAGTCATACATTTTTACTCACAGCTGGGGATCTGAATCTTGGATTCAATATCCTGCTAATCCTTTTGATTGACTTGAAGGTTTGTCCAAGCGGTCTCCAACATTTGGGAGGATTGAGATGCAAATCCCGAAAGCAACTGCCAGTTGAAGAAATGCTCTGAAGCTGATCCCAGGCTGCTGGGTTAGAATTAGATCTACACAAAACAAAATACAGGTCCTTACACACCAAAGTGGAACACGAAGCAATTTCTTACTCCTGATACCTGCTTACACTCAAGTTTTAAAGAAGGATTTTAAATGGCTTCTGTAAAGTACATAAAGAATCAGTGAAGACCTTCTCCATGAAGATCTTTCATAAATCAGTGAATTCAAGTGGGAACAGAATTCTCTAATTGCACGCTAGAAGTTAATCATAAAATAATCCCAGCTTCCCCATATAATCATGTAGCCTTTTCCCCACTCCTACTCTTGTCTAATTTACAGGAATTCAATCCACATGGAAGAAGTCAGTGCATGTGTAAACCAAATCCTACACTTTCCTTTTCATCACAAAGCCAGTTGTTCTTCTAAACCATCCATCAAGATTAAGTTACGCTCCAAGCGTTAAGGGGGGCCTACGCTCAGAGCTTTGCTGAAAAGTTAAGTTGCCAGCTGCAAGGCAGAAAATCAATCAGAAATACATTTGGAACAATGGTATGCTTCCTGAAATTACACCAAACTGGAAAAAAATCAAGCCAGTGGCAGAAGATTATCAATGACAGGAGATACCCATTCAAATGTGTAGATGAGGTAGGTTAGTTGAATTAGACACATTTGCTAAATGGAAATACCCTGGCGCCAAGTCTCAGATTTACATACAAATATAGCAAACCATTTGCAGGGTTATCCCAGGAGGATCAAGGTACTTTCTTCTTCAGTATGAACCAGTAAGTTTAAAATTGATATGGATCGCTTTAGCTAATACACATTTCTACCCCTAGATTTTGCAGTAGATACAGAGAGTTTGACACAGTTTGAATAATTCATCATAATTTCACAAACATGTATGGAAGATGAGAGTACCTAGTGTGATCACAAAAAGGCTGGAGTCACTGGTGGAGTGGGTAGGAGGCAGGCAAAGTTCCCGGATCCAGGGCTACAGCCTTCACGTCATTTCCAGAGTGACTACGTGACCAGGTGCTAAACTACCTGACAGTCCCCAAGAAACTCGAAGGCTGTTTACGTCGATGGAAAGGAAAAGGGCATATTCAAAACTGGCACCAAAGGAAATGGATGGAGAGGCTTTCAGTGCCTCAAATCTCCATCTCCCCTTGTTCAAGTCTCCAAGGGTTTTCAGGACAAGGCAGAGCAGGAGGAACACATGAGACAAGTGTCAAGGAAACTGTCCAGTTTCAACACACTCACCAGTCTGGTACTCTTCCCTCCCCTGTGGATACCCCAGCCTCCTGGGGCCAGTGTCTGCATGTTCCTTTCCAATGGGTGCTGTCCATCTGTGCTGAGGAAAGCAGTGGTTTACAGTCAGCATGAGGAAGCCTATCTCTACAAGAAAACCAAATCTTAAATCCCCTTCTACTCTCTCATTTACAACAATTAGAATCTGGGGCCTATGAAGCCAACCCTTGGTTTTCAAAGAATAGCCACACTAAAAATAATAGTTTATATTTTTGAGCATTTTTATAGGCTGCTCACTGTGTTATGCACTTCTCCTGCTCCTGTAACCTTCCCAGCTGTCTTAGAGTGGGGCTCCTCACTACAGTTTACCCACAGAGACACTGAAGCTTAAAGGGAGTGAGCTCCACAGTTCAGGATTACAGGACCTCATCTATGCTACAGGTCTTGCTGACTGTATGGCCTTGGCTGAGCAGAGCATCAGAATTATGGAAAGATGGGATGCCAGAGATCAAGGGCCTCAAGCATCTTGGACTCAGGCCTTTTAAAAGCCATTTGTATTAACTCCTGTACCTTGCCTAACACTCTTAGGATTATGAAGTAAACGTCTCAGAATGTATTGCTAAATTCCACACGCCTCTAGCGGCCACCGGGCTAAAACCTAAGGCTAAAACCACGATGATGCTGAAACACATAGGCAAAATTTCCCTGCATTGCTGTGGTCCATCCACCACCACCACAAATGAATTGGGAAACTCTATTGAGTTACAATTTTCTCCATACCTATGAGATTTTGCGTAACATCCTCCATGATGGAACATGTCATGGGCAACTTGAATCTATGTTCCTGGGCCACAACTTCTCATATTTAGCTCAGAATAAACTATTTTCTATAAAGCAGAGTCACCTTTTATACCAAATGGAGGAGCTAGAAATCAAGGCCAAACTGAATGAGCCCAAAGCTCTATCTTCACCACTTGGCAATTCCTCCTTCCACACATAGCTGTGTGTCTGCACAGGAAGGAAAACCACCTCAAGCTGTAGTCTTCAGCCTGAAACCCAAGCCAACTACCTCCCAAACATTTTGGTACCACAGCCTCAAGAAAGTCTGTGAGCTCGACCTGATTCCACACGGACCCTTCTGGGTTGCAATCATGCATCTTCATGTTTGCTGTTGAAGAATGAAGACCAGCAAGCATCATCAACAGCTCGGAAGACGAATTTTAAAAATGTGAAGTCAAGCTGAAATCTCTTCTCAACCTCTTCATGCAGTCACTGTATGTGAGTATGTATTTCTACATTTTTCTGCTCAGCTCCTTGGCATTTGTGGCTTGCATTTTTCTAGTGTCAGAAATTCCTCAAACACAGGTAAGCTTATTCGGGCAGTCATTTTCTTACTGATAGGCTAATGTGACTACCTGAATTTGCAACTTGAAATGCTGCAATTCAAGTCTCCAGGGGTCTTCAAGCACTTATTCCCTTGAAAGCACAGCTGTAGCAAGAAGAGAACTTTGCATTGAACATATGCAAAGATGAGGCCCAGAAAAGTTACAAAGCTAAGATGCTAGGGCTTGATTCATTGCTCTGATCAGGTGAAGATGATTCGTACTGCAGGACCTGTTCACATCATGCAATGTTCGGCTGTTTCTTTGAAAACAATGGCACTGTTACAATCCAGCAGGCTCATATTCTAGCCCCTACTGAGGGGCGGCTATGTTTCCTACCCACACACAGGCAAGTATGACACTGACAGGAGGGGTCACGTTTCTGAAGGAAAGGTTTCCTCCATAGCACAGTAGCTACCTACACAGACAGCAGTTGAAGTCCTAGGTTCAAATCCCAGCTTTGTGTGTGACCTGGAACAAATTCATGAGTAACTCTGAGCTTTGCTGACCTATGTAGGAGATGGAAATGATAAAAGTACCTAGTTCTTAGTTTTCAGTTATCATGAGAATGTAATGAGTTCATAGAAACCTTCCAAACAATTCCTAATGGTCCAAGTCCTCCTCCATCAACTTCAAAAGACGACTCCTTACACAGGGACACTCCTATTTCCTGTCTGATGCATGCAGAAAGCCCTGAGCTAACACAGTTCATCCCTTACTGTTCTCCTGGCCCTTCCTCAGAGCCATTCCCAAAGTGAACCCCACTGTCAGCTGCCGTGTGACAGTGACATTGGTCAGTCTGAGCCCTCCTGGTGTGATCTCCCTGCTTCCTGTGCTGAGTGTGTGGCTGTTTCCCTGAGCTTGGACACCTTGCACCCTCCAACCAGCTCACACTCAAGCTCGGCTCCCAAAGATGGAAGTGTTTTCAAGCTCTCAGTGACACATATATCCCACTGCAGCACATGGGCCACAGGTTCACCTCCATGTTCCTGGCCTCTGCTCAAAGGTATAATGACTCAAGTTCCTAGGAAAAGAGAAGAAAAGAAGAGAAAAGAGAGAAGAGGAGAAAAGGAGAGAAGAGAAGGGAAGGGGAGGGGAGGGGAGGGGAGGGAGGGGAGGGGAGGGAGGGGAGGGGAGAGGAGAGGAGAGGAGAGGAGAAGAGAGGAGAGGAGAGGAGAGGAGAGAGAAGCAGAGGGGAGGGGAGAGGAGGGGAAGGGAGGGGAAGGAAAGGGAAGGGAAGGGAAAGGAAGAGAAAAGAAAAACGAAAAAGAGAAGTCTCATGATAGAGGTCACTTTGAATCATAAACAAAGCCTCTCTCGGAGAGTCTTATATGTCATGTAATTTCATAGATCCTAAGAAATCTTCTTCCCCCTCCATCTAGGGCACTTCCAGGAAAATAGAGCCAGGTGGACCTGAGTGTAGCAGTCCTTGGATCACGCAGGACCTGCCTCTCCTTGTGTTTTTCATCCCTTCTTCAGCCCCAGATTCCTTACGGTATCCAATGCTAATTGCTCCCCAATAACCACTCTTTCCTTCTTCCATGCCAGCATGACAGGAGCCCCATGTACACCCTCAGACTTCCCCCAGGCTTTCTTCAAGTGTGGGGTGCAGCACAGGGGCTGTGTGTCTGTCGTGTTCTTTGAGCAAAAGGGTAGCCCTTTTCTCTCCCTTCCGACCTGCTGCTTGAACTGTGGAGATGGCAGCCAGACAGTGTGACACCTGCAGCTAGAGAAAGGCTGCCACAAACACAGCCCTTGGCCCCTGGGGCACCTGTAAGGGCAGAGGTGGGGGCATGGCTCCACACCCTGGGCCTCAGGGCTGGATGCTCCAGGAGGCATCTGGAGCCTGGACCTGGCTCTGTCTTTCACTGAGTTTCAGCCTCTTGCAAGAGTTGCTACCATTCCTGGATTCTAAGCTAGTTTTTGCCTTTCCTCTTTAATGTGCATGCACAACAGTGTATAAATTTCACCTTCATGCTGTTTTGTTACTTCATATAAAAGTAGTGATTTTACTGCCGAAAAACTATTTTCCCCCGGTGTTTTACATTGATTCCAAGTAGGACTTTGGACTTACCTGGTACCCCTTTTATGGATCTCCATGAAACTTGTCAAAGGCACAGTTCCATATTTCTGAGTGACATGACATGGCTTGTGTCCGTTTTGTGCTCTCATTTTCCTTCCTTGTACTTAGGGATATAACTACTTAAGGGTAAAACTTAGGTTTGGAAAAGCAGGGATGTGTTTGCAAGTTTCATTTTGACATTTGGTATGCTGCATATATCTTTAAATACCCTAAAGTACTGTAGGATTTTTAGTTCACTGAGTAGTTTAGTTCACTGTTGTTAGTTTTTTGTCTATAATTTCACTTTCCATCTCAAAAGTAAATTTCCTCAAGTGTACATTTTTGTAGGTACCAATGTGATTGTTTTTGTTTTGGGGTTTGGGTTACTGATTTAATTCAGGCTTTTTCTAATAAATATTTAATCCATTGATAGTTGCCAGGTCAAAGATATCATTTTCTTCTGTTTTCAATTTCATGTACAATGTACAAGTTCTATTCTTTTTATAATAATAGCAAGATGTAACATTACTAGATCTTCAATCTACCTAATTTGTTCAATGAATTTTGTAAACTTGAGATGCCCTAAACACTTTATTATACATGTACTATAATTGCCTTACTAGGAGCATGTTTTGGAAATGTTATCATAAGGATAACTTTCCCCAGTACTTAAATATTTTCCTAATTTCAATATATTAAATTTAAAACATAGTTTAAATTGTTAATTAATATTATTTTAAAATGTAATGAAATATGCATTTCAGTTTAAGAATCATAAGTCAATTCAGTTACTAAATCACACATTTCAAGTTGGAATCACAGCCTATTGTATTTATAATACATTCAATTTCTTTTAAATCCAGCCATGCGCTATTATGGTAACAACATGAAAACATCTTATGGATGTAAGTCATTACCTCTGCACTTAATGTATGCTTCTTTTTCAAGAAAAACATTTTTGTATACTGAAGCTCACAAGTTAGGTAGTGATTGTTGCAATAGAGAGGAAGCCAGTGACCATAGGCCAGGCTGCAGCCAGGCCACAAGGTATCCCGAAGAATAGGAGACAGATGCACTCTGGTCTGAGAATATCCAAGCCCATCCCTCCACAGAGGCTGGAGTTACAGCTTCCTGAATTCAAGTTATTCATCTTCGGCTTCCTCCATCTGATAGAGTCTGCTTGGTGCTTGATTAGATTTAACCAATCCAGTTCCTGCCCAGTTCCATCCTGAACATTTGTCATGTGCACAAATGTCACCAATTCTTAAATGACCTCATGGTACAGAGTGATGCAAAGTCCACTCCAGAGGGGTGAGGGAGCCCAGAGCTGAGACACCATAGCAACTGGGGCTGCCATCCTGTGTTTTGGGTAGGAGCCCCATCTCCACCCACTGAGTGAACTTTCGGTTAACTGCTATGGGGCTTATGTTAGGGTTTGGTTTTGTGGGCTAAGAGAGGAATTAAGGTTGGTATGGCAACCCGTACAAGAAGGGAAGTGCTGGGAAGATTTCAGACCACACTCAGCCAGTTTTAGAAGACAAACCGGCTGGTCCGATCGCAGTGGGTTATCAGAACTTATTAATAGTAGTGTCACTAAAGTTGGTATACCACCCCCTCACTGCTAAATTTGACTGGCTTAAAAAAAAATTAAAACTAAAAAAAGAAAAACCACAAAACTATTTGAAAACTGCTTGCTGATCACAACCTCACAGAGGTGGCATTTTCCTACCCCCAAAAAGGCCTCAGGACATTTAACCCTCCCCAGGAGTCCTTTCTGTTCCTACAATCACACTTATTATTCTCATATGAGTAGGAGTTGTCATCTGAACCACTGAAAAGCAAGTTTCAGATGGGGGACCCCTTTAGCTTTAAACATACTCCTTTATAGTTTCTAAAAACAAAGACTTTCTCTTCCATAGCCACGTTCAATTACCCAACTCAGGAAATTCACACTGATATAGAACCACCACCATTACAATGCTATTATCTGATCTGTAGACAGATTTCATGCCCGTTTTTCCAGTTGTCCCACTAATGTGATTTAAATGGCTCTGGAGCAAATCTAGAATCACAATTACATTTTATGTCTTTGAAATTCTTTAATCTGAAATGGTTCTTCCTTCCTTTTGTCTTTCAGACCATGATGTCTTAAAGAGCTAGCTTGCAGACATACCTAGATTTGGGTTAGTTCTGGTGGTGCCCTGTGATTACAGTCAGACTACGAATTTTGTAGGAAGATCACAGACATGGTGAGACCTGGTCACTCTGTGTGCAGGAGTCCCCAGGCATTGGGAAGATGAGTTCTCAACAGCCACCATCTGGAAATTAAGACTCAGGTTAAAGAGCTCAAGATGAGTAAGTGTTTAACAGACAAAACAGTAAAAAGAGGACTTTTCCTAAAACTCTTAAAAACTTCACTGTATGTCCATTTAGTTAATTTATAAAATGTACCAGTTTGCAACATAATAGAGAAAACGCTGACTTACTTTTTATAGTCTCAGGTGACACAAAACGCCGTAGACCTATTCCATTATGGAAGTCTCGGAGCCAGTTGGGGAACATAAAGATTACTCCCCCTCTCCTCCACGTTTTAGGTTTTGCTCTGGAGCAGAGCTCTAAGAATAGCCTCCATGCTGCTGGTCTCTGACTGCACTGGGACCAGAGGTCACCTCCCCAAGGGGCAGTGGAAAGTTTAGCAATTCTCTCCTCAGCCTTTGACTCCCTGCACCGCCCAGCCCAGGGTATGCTGTCCCGATTTATGCCCTGACTGCCAAATGGAACTCAGTGTCTGGCATCATCTATCCCTCTTTCCATTCTTTGTTTTCCCAGAAACAGCACCCTTTACCCTCCCTGCCCGCCTCATTGCTTTGTTCCCCGAGGACTCTGCTGTCCCTAGAAGAGGCCTGGTGAATCTGTCATCGAAGGAGGTTAGGGTTAGCCCAATGAGGGCTTCCAGAAAAAGGAGGCCCTTGGCACCAACGCTGATGGGAAGAAAGGAGAGGTGACTGCGGTGCTCTGGAAGTAGAAGGTGACAATGCTCAGCACTGTTCCTGCAGCTTTCCCCTCCAAGGCTTTGCAGAGTCATTGCTTAATTACAAGCCCTCCAGAATATGCTCCTTGTTTGGATTTGGACAAGTGAAAGAGAGTGAGAAATAGAGACATCTGTCAAACACCAAACATAAATGGCACTAAATAATATTTTGAGGTATTAACTCATGTCAGCCTTTTCCCCCAGTATTTCCTCTTCCCAGCTTGCATTCTGCCCTCAAAGCTCTGTCACAGAACTGATGGTGGATTTGGAAGCAGAAAGCTTTTTGGCTTTTGTTTTGCAAATCCTACATGGTTAGGAGGAGGGGATTTGTAAGAGTGGTGGGCTGAGTTTGAAGATACATGAAAAGGGGATTTCTCTCATATTTAAAAGAAATTTTCCCAAGCTGGGCAAGGAGGAATAGTGTGTTCCAGGAGAGCAAGAGCCAGGTCTCTCTTTGTAGTTAAAGATGAAGCAGTGGCCTGGCCAGGAGGGGAGGGCTGGGTAGCCAGGAAGATAGGAGCACGGCAGCCTCCTCTACATTCTGGTGCTGCATGGTGTTATAGCACTGGAAACTCAGAACTCACTGGCTGAGGTTTTAGCCCATTTGAAAGCTCACAAGTTACACATTTACAGTTTGTTTTTACATCATTCTCCTACATCCTGGAAAAAAAAAAGCTGGAGTTTCCCAGGCCAGAGGCCAAATCCATTTTTTCCAGTTCTACTGGCTGTGCGACCTGCTTGTTCATATCAGCTCATCTTGCCCCTTGAAACCTCCAGCACCGCTGGAAATGGTACACATCAGCCCTGTACATGCAGTGGTGTACACCACAGCTGAATATTTCCAGTCCTAGGAAACATCAGTATGCTAAAGAGCTATAAGAAAATCTGTGCAACCTTTGTTCTGGAGGATGACATCAAACAAATTATTCTGTCCCACGAGATGGTAGTTCTGTCTCCCAGCACTGTTTGGTGTGCAACGGTCCTTGAAAAGATTATCCAGAACAAAAGCAGTCTGTACCTGTAGTCATAAGACACTAGAATACAAGACAGGATACTTCCTGCCTGCATAGACTCTTCTACAGGCAGGAACTGTGGATGTCTCAACCATGACCTGTGTGGGCCAGGAAGCAGTCTCCTGTCCCTTGATGCTTCTGCCTCCATGACACATGGGAAATCTCACAAGCCTGGAAGGCGATCAGGGTAAAAAGCTCTAATAAAGGTGGGAAGATTAAGCAAATATCTGAATATTAAGCAGTATTATATTCAATTCTCTTTCCCCTCCAGCTCCCACAATGCTTCGTTCATGCTCAACTTGGCCCTAAAAAGGACATTTGAAATGACTCTCTGAAAAAATATGAAAACTCCAAAAGAAAAAAACCTTCAGAGACTGGTATTTGATAAATGCATATCCTCTTGCAAATATATCCAGATCCCTGCCCAATATCTGTACAGTGAGTAGCAGGTCATAGCCCTCCTTCCTAATATAACCTCTTAGTTTCACAATGCTCAGTGTTAGGTATGCATAAACAGGGCAGGACCATCACTCATCCAAAGAAAGCCTTTAACATTAAAGAAAGGGAAACGAATAAATGGAAATAGGAACTCAAACAAAAGAAAAGAGAAAAAAACCCACTGTGGAACAGAATAAACCTTCTTCTCCTAATTTATAACTGACAGTTGCAGCACCAGGCAAATGGGACAGGGGTAACTTTCCTACTGTCCCAATGAAGTTCGGGAGCAGCACTGGACATTATTATGTATCATCAATCTTTGTGTGCTGTCCACCTTTTCCGCTGGAATCCTTGGCATACTGGTGGTACTTGTTTTAGATTCTAGGTCTGATCATCCCCAAATCTCTGCCACAGTTGATACTGGTTCTGGTGCTTATTCTGTCTCTTCAAACTCCACATGCACGGAGTTGAGGGGAGTGGTTTCTGTTTGAGGGTTTGTATCCTTTAGCATGCTTTGTTATGGTTTTGCTGGAAGCCAGACTTACCCTGCATTGAAGAAACTGAAGTAAACAGGCCTTTCTACTTTTGTGTGACAGAGTTCTGTCTGTGTGGTGAGGATTCACACTGTTTGCTGGAACTGCAGGTATCTGAGGCACTCCAGAGGCTTCTTAATCCAGGTAGGAGATGTGAAGGTGAATCCTCGCTGTCACAAGGGGGTCCTATTCATGTGGTGGGAAGGAGAAAGAGGTCATTCTGTAGCCTTATGATTAGGTCTAAGTTGCTAATGAGACATTTACCCGTGGCTGGGACCTTCACAAGTGAGTGCCCTGCCATTTGGGCCTCATAGCAAGTCCAGAGAAAGCTACAGCTGGCTATCCCATTCCTCCAGGCAAGTCAGGCTCTGGGAGAGCCCTAGGTACCTTGATGCTGAGAAAATCAGCCTATACAGAGCTTAACACTCCTGGCGTAGTTAAAGACAGTCTGACCTGCAGCCTGGGCATGAACTGACGAAATTTCCACCAGCACATCCTTCCCTTTGCTCTAGTACAACAAAGAAGGGAGTGGGTTGGGAAGCCTGAAACACTAACATTGGTGACAAAGAAATGCCGGAAGTGCTGCCAGCCAGCTTCTCCCTCCCCTGGAATTCCTGAAGGAAAAGGACACTAAGACATCCCATTAACCTGAGGCAAAACTTCCCTACAAACCACTGCAATGAGGAGACCATTCCAAATATTTTTAGCTAAGATCAAGAGTCAAACTGAGCTCCTACAATTACTAAGACTATTCTTGTTTTAGCCCTTAATTGCTTTATTCTCATGCTTAACTAGGAATTTCAGTTTTCTCTGCATGAACCAAATTTTCAGAATGAAGCTTTGGTTGATCTAGATGTGGAAAGAGACCCTTTCAATACTCTTAAAAATTTCTCAGAATTATCCCAAAATAGGCAAAAATTTGAGTTCTAGGAACATTAGAGAGAGCTATATTAAAGCAGATAGAGAATATTAAGTACAAAAGAAACATCAAAAAAATCTAGAAACCATTTCTGCATCTGTCATTCAGGGTGAGGGAGGCTATTTCCAATTTTAACTCATATGGCTATAAATAATGTTTCCTTATATTTTTAAGTTCATTGTACTGATAATTGTAGTTACAGTAGTAGAAAATACTAGAAGGTTAGCGAGATTCAAACAGGAGTGAAAACTGCCTTCTCTTGGAAGCACCTTTGTATCTTTGGAAATACCACAAGGTGCTAATTGCCACAATTAGCTAATTGTCTGTGTGCTAATTGCCACAATTATTTAATAGTTATTTATAAAATTAGTGAAGTTTATGAAGAATGTGCTGACAGTATCATCAATATTTTATAAGTAAACTGTTTTTAAGAGCCCAATTATTTGCCCTCGAAGCCAGTGGGGAAGATGGAGAAACCATTTAGGACTAAATTGGGGTCCTAGGGAACTCACATTTCCTGACCTGTGTGAGAGCGATCTTCAACAGTTCCTTTTCCTTCTGGGCTTCTTTTTTCAGAGCAATACAGGGCACACTACTGGGCTCTGATGAGATGAAACGTTAAAAGGAATATCACCTGCTAAATTCACTGTGGTATTTTTTTGCAGGTTAAAACATTTTAAATGGTTAATCTTAATCGCCAATAAAGCAGAAATATAGAACACTGTATGGCTGCCTTTTCTGAAACTGCACAGTAATTGTTTCAACTGATTGTTCACTTGAACAACTTAATTGTTCAACTGATACATACCAGTTATATCTATTAGCTGGGTACCAAGAGATGCTTCAATATACATACACACTGTGCTGTGCCCAATCAGGGTACACAAATTCATCTCAAGCACATACAACATCAAAACCTAGTTCTTCTCACTATAACTTAGTACCTGTTGTTCAGCTTTCCCATCCTCCCACCCCTAGGTAACTCATCTTTAAATCACAGTGTGGACAGAAACCAAGGAGAGAAGAAGGTGGTGGAGCAGAGAATGGCAGTGAACTCTAGCCTGTCTGTGATCTATGGTGGGAATACACAGAAGACAATTTGAGAAGGAAAAGGATGAATCTCTGGGAAGTGGGAGGAGACTGATGGGAAGGCTGGAAATTGCAGAGAAGCTGGAGCAGAAACATAGCACAGGAAAGGAACGGGGCAATCTGGAAGGGTTAGCCTGATGCTTGGGGAGGAGACCTACTTTGGGTGATACAGGGCAGGCCCAGAGAGGGGCAGTGGCTCCAGGAAGAAATAACCAAGAGCACCAGCAGTGCTGATCCCAAGAGAATTCCACACCTATTACGAACTCCAGACTCACTAGACTCTGGTGCTGCCTCCTTCTGCAAGGCTGACTGGTGTTGGGGAAGACCCCCAGTACAGCACCTGCCATGTTGGACAGTTTTTAATTGGGAGCCATTGGGGGAATTGTTAGTTGTTTAGGGCTAAGCCATAGAACAAACACAGAGCTGCTATACTTCAGGATTTCTGGTGTTGCCCAGCCACAGTGCACTATAGATAGTTGTGGAGAGGGCGCAGGGTAGGCAATGATCCCCTGAGAAGTTTCAGCTCAGGCCAGGGGGGGTCTGAGGGCCATGTCCTCCATGATAAGAAACCAGGCCAGGAATGTGTAGCTTCCAGCAGACAACCTGACAGTCCCCTCCCTGCTGCCTGCATCATCAGAGAACTGAGTGCTGTATGCTTTCCTCATCTATCAAAGTCCGCAAGGATACAGCATGGCTTGGAGATTGCCATAGCCTAGAAGGAACAAACAGAGGGGTCTTTGGAGCAGGGGGGGTCTCGCAAAACCACAGGCCATATAGCTGGGCAGAGAAAACTGTGACTTTGGGTTTATAGAAGGGACATGAAAAGTGGGAGCTAAAAGACTGACTACAGCCCTGGGGAGGGCACCACTGACTGACCACACCCAGGAGAAAAGATGGGGTAGGACTCAGATTCCATACACAAAAACATGAATGTAGAGGCAAAATGGGCATCAGCAGTGACTCACTCTCCCTATCCCATATTTGCTTGTTCCCAGAAACCCACTCATTCAAAAACAAAGGAGAATATTTTGTACTCATTTTTGTTTGTTTTTATTGATTATTTGGTGTTTGAGATTTTAAAATTATTTTTATTTCTTTTTTTGTTTTATTCTTTTTCTCTTTTCTTCTTCTTCTTCTTTTTTTTTTTTTTTTTTTTTACTTTAAAGAGAATAAAGCAAATCAGAACAAGATTTCAAAACAAGACAACCAGGAATCACCAGTGCCTCCCATAATGTCTCTTGTTTTCTTCAAAATAGCTGTCCATGCCTTCATACATAATGAAACCAAATAATAGGAAACAGACTAAAACCAATCAGAACAAAGAATGAAAGCATTACAGGACTTCAAAACAAGATATCAGGAAATGAACAGTGGTTATTATAATGTCTCATTTTCTTCAAAATAGCCATCCATACTATCACACATAATAAAATCAAATAAAATACAACAAAATAAAGCCAACCAAGACAAAAGAATAAAGGCATTATAGGACTTCAAAACAAGATGATAGGAAATCAACAATGGCTACCATAATGACTCATTTTCCTCAAAATTGCTGTTCACACCATCACACAAAATAAAGTCAAACAAAACAATAAAACCAATTGAACAAAAGAATGAAAGCATTATAGGGCTTCAAAACAGAAACCAACATTCCACTATGTTCAGAATAGCTGCCCACACCATCAGACACAATAAAATCTAACAAAACAGGACTGAACAAAACCAAACCTAGCAAAATTATGAAAATGATACCAAACAGTTCAAGACAAGATGATAAAAAAATCAACAGTGGTTACCACCTTACCTGCTATGTGTTTCCACCCTTATCACTTTCATAATATCTATTGTGTTTTTTGAAACCCACTAACTCCATGTTTTCCATGCTAGGGTTTATGCATATGAGTTCAAGTCTGCTCTCCTCCAATTGAATCCATTTCCCTACAAGAGCCTAGAGATTATTCTACTTTATAGCTTGGTAGCTTTCCATTGAATGAAAATATCATATTTTTCTTATCCATTTTTCAGTTGATGGGCAAATTACCCATTTCTGGTCTCCTGTTGCATGGAACAATTGTTTTCTCTCACTTGACTTTCAGTCTGTGAATTTCCTTTTGAGTTAAATGTGTTTCTTGTATATAGTATATTGATGGATCTTGCTTCTTGATCCACTCTCCCTGTGTTTCATTTTGCTGCTGACCTGAGGCCATCTACGTTAATGATTACAACCGGCATACATTGATTCATCTCTGCTGTACTATCCTCCTGCTGTTGGCCCTCCACTTTTCCCCTTCATTCAGTTGCCTGTCTTGTTTGGTGATCCTCCTCTGCCACTGTTCCTGGAACCATGGTCATCTTTATCTCTCCCTAGAATATCCTTTAGTACTCTCTGTAGGGTTGGTTTGGTGGTCATAAATTCCTTCATTTGCCTGTTATCATGTGAGTATCTTATTTTTCCATCAGTTTTGAAAGGTAGTTTTGCAGAATACATCAACCTAGGTAGGAAATTGTTTTCTTTCAGGATTTGAAACACTTTACTCAAACCTCTTCTTGACCTGGTGGTTTGTGTTAACCAGTCTTCCATGATTCTGACTGGTTTTCTTTTATTGATGATCTGTTTCTCTTTCTCTAACAGGTTTAAATGTTCTGTTCTTGTGCTGAATTTCTAGGATCTTGATTATTATATGTCTGGGTATAGATCTCCTTTGGTTTTGGCTAGTTGGAGTTCTATACATCTCGCTTATCTGTATACCAAATCCTTTCCCCTTTTGGGAGTTTTCTGCCATTACTTCTGTAAAAAAACTTTTATTATTATTATTAATTTTAAAGAGGGTAAAATTGAACACAACAAAACAGAACATAGTAAAGCAATGTAATAAATTTCGAAGCAAGACAATCAGAGATCTTCACTACCTATCATATTATCTGTTTTCTTCCAAATAGTTGACCATATCATCACATACAGAAAATTCACATGAAACAACATAGTATAAAACTGATCTGAATAAGATGAGGAAGGCATTTTAGGTCTTCAAGATCAGACAACAGGGAAGTCAACAATGGCTATCATTGTGTCTCTCATTCTCTTCAAAATAGCTGTCCATACCTTCATGTATATTAAGATTAAACAAAACAGGCTAAAATCACTCTGAACAAGGAATAATAGTATTGTTGGATGTCACATCATAATACTACGGGATCAGTACTGGGTTACTTTTTCTTCAAAGTGGTCATTCGTTTCATCATGCATTATATGATCGGTTCTCATAAACTGTTTATAGCTTCTATGCATGCATGAGTCTCTAAATGTATTTCTATCCTTTCTGTATTAGAGGGAGAAACAAAGCAAGACAAAATAAAACATATTCCTATAAAAACATGAAATGAAAAAATAATATAAAACCACAGTGCATGGTGTTCTATAATGGTTAGTATGATGTCTCTTGTTATCTTCAATAGAATTGTCTATATGATTAGGCATAGT